TGTATGAGGCACTGAAGGAAGTAGGTATTTTCAAAGCTTAATGATGAGATTTGTTTCTCTAAGGTGTATTGGTTGCCAAAAATGGACAGGTTAAAAAAATATATATAGTGTATACACGGCATCATAGTTGTGTATATGTATGTGTATACAAAGCATTATAGTGCTGCACTTGCACCTTTTGCTAAGCCTTAGTCAAAGACAGGTTACAGATGTAGAGGGACTTATGTTCTCAGATAAGATGGTGGTTCTTATGTATTGATATCTCTGAGTGTGTCTATATATACACATGCACATATAGTGCCATATGTATTCTCTATGTGATAAATTGTGTGCATACTCCTACTTCAGTAATTTCTTTTTTGCAGAGTTTATGGGAGACACTGCAACCTTTTGAGGTATGGCAAGCTGCTTGTTTAAAAATAAAACCCTTCTGTTAGGGTAGGGGAAATGATGTTTGCTCAGCAGTGTGGAACAAAGGAGTTTGAAGATAGCTTAAGGAAACTTAATGATATATTAACGAACTTACTTCTTAGCAAAGGTACTCATGGGGGGGGAGGAAGGAATATGAACATGTTTTGTCATTCTCTTCAGGTAGACTAGTAATTTTGCTGTCGTTAACCAGCAGCAGATAGGGCAAATGCTTAATGACAGGCAAGGAGGTCTCTTCGTTTGCTGGGTTTAGTGCTAAATGAAGTTTCACATTGGGTGAGACTGTGCAGTGCTGTACTGGCTGTTCCTGATGGACCTCCTGCAGTGCCGTGAAAAACAAAGGGCTTTACTGATGTCTTGGCTTCTTTCTTTCAAGCTTTGTCTCGGAGGTGCTCATTGGGAAACCCACAGACGTGAGCCCTGATGCAAACTCATAGGAGTTGGTCTTGGTTGCAACTCGCATGGAATTAGTAGTTGGGGTGAGAACCCACAGCACAGCTTGATAATATGTTTGACTAGGAGCTCAAGTATGTCTCTGAAAAGTATCTGCTTAGTGATTCAAGGCTCTGCCCTGCAAACACATACCCAGGTAAGTAAATAGGGCTAATAAGCATGTAAAATGATGTACGAGTTCATGAGAATGAGGAAAATCTAAATGCTGTCACACAGTTCAGGGAGGGCAAGTAGGGAAGGGTGTATGCATGGCAGTAACTGATAGTGGAAGTGGGGGACAAGGAAAAATTCTTCCCAAGAATGTAACTGGGGACAAAGACCATTGCAAGAAGGCTGCTGGGAGGCGGTGGACAGGAGTAGTGCTTAGGACCTCTGGAGGATCTGGTTTCCACAACCACCTCCTGGGTTTGATGAATGCCTTGATACCTTCTTCAGGAGGTTTCTCATTCATCATGGATAAATACAGTTGCTGCTGAAACTGTTCTTGCTGGGTGCTCTCTTTTACTTCTTGCTTAATCCCAGTTGTGTTACTTGACCCTCAACTTTGAGGGGAAAAGTAACTTTTGCCCTTCTTAATCTCATTCTTCACCTTTTCCACTGCTCTGTTGTTCTTCTGGGATCTTTGCCCAGGCATCTGTCTGGTTTTTAGTAGACTCTCTCCAGTTTTCTCCTCAGTCCCTCTCCTTCATTAACATGCAGAAAGTCAGTTACTAGCTCCACTCCAAACCTGCCTCCTCCTCAAAAACCGTTTTGACATGGCTAACACAGAGCTGTTAAACGAAGAGCACTGGTGTTTCTTTCCTGTTCCCTATGCCACCATTTCCCTGTTTGCTCAAGCCACTGTCAGACTTGGATTTTTAACTCCTTTCTGTCCAGTTTCTCAGGCTTTTCTGCAGAGCTGCTCATGTGCAGTTTTCTTTACTCAACCCCCATGGCTGTTGGTTTTAGCCAGGCTCTCATCTTACCACAAAACTAAGCTTTACCAGGTACAGCCTTGTACAGCTGATACCCATCTCGGACCTTTCTGCAGAGACGCTTTTCTACCCATGTGGTTCCACCAGCAGTTGTACCAGCTTACTGAAGGGCTTTTGGTGTGGTCCCATGATGAGTGCTTGTACAGAAACCAGGCAGCCACAGGATAGTGGGCAGGCTCCCTGCTTGGATACCAAAGGGAACACGGTACAGCCCTGGTGGTGGAGGATGGCCCCCAGGGGTCCCAGCACAAGTCCCCATGGCAAGGGAGCAGTGTGATGGCTGAGTTTAAATTATCCATTGTCTGAATTTGAGTTCACAGCCAACTGAAGAATTGCGGCATCTTTTAAGCCTTGCTAGAGCACTAAAATGGCAATGATATTGGGTGTAGATAAATGAATTGATTTGTATGAAGGGACAGAAGGGAAGACTGGACTTCACTGAACTTCACTGGAAAGGATGGGCTGAGCTGACCGTCCTTTTAGGTAGGAGATCTTTGGAAAACCAAGTGACAAATGTGACTCTTTGCTGGAGCTTGGCAATGATCACCAAAGCAAGCTGAGCCCTGGGGGTTCTTAAGAAAAGGTTTATGAACAAAAAACATGATCTGTGGTTTGCTGCCTTTGAATGCCTTGTGTGTGTGTATGTATGTGCGTATAGGATGCCAGCTTACAGCCTAGAACAGACCTGGAGGAGATCAGAGGAGGAGGAGGTGGGTAGAGGGGCTGGCTTCTGCCCGAGGAGCAGACAGTGGGCGGGAGCTCTTTGGCCTGGAACGGGGGGGGCTCCCACATGCCTCCCTGGTTTGGTAAATCCCTAAATCCAGGGGGGTGACCGCTGATCCCTACCTCCTACAGTTAGCCCGGTGGGGCGGGAGGCGGTTCTCCGCAAGGCAGACGGCAGAGCTTTGGACGCCCTCACGCCAGGCGCGGGCACTGCAGCTGCACGCCGGCTCCGGGAGGCTGGGGGGGCTCGGCTGGTTGCCTCAGCCCTGTCTGACGTGGGCAGGTTACCCTGGCATGTGCATACGCACATGCTCGCTCTGGCCTTGTTCTTCCCTGGGAACTTGATTTTGCTATTTTGGGATGATTTTCTGGGTTAGATGCACTTCAGTGACCCGTTAGGTCTCAATTCTCTAGTTTCTTGCATTGAAGTGAGTTGTAGGGCTGGCTGCCTGCCTCTCACTGGCTCTCTGAAGGGAGGATTTCCTCGCTGCAGACTTGGTAGAGGCGTTGCAGTGCAGCACGGTGGTTGAAGAGCTTCAGGTTAAACACATGTTGTGTTGTCTGTTTTAAAATGAGCAGTTAAGTGGTCTGGCTGGCCTGGCAAGGAAAAAAAAAAAATTTCTTTTATCCCTGGCATTGGTTAAACAGTTAAAACTCTTGTCAAAGACATTAAGAAATATCATTTGAAAGGTAACAGCACTGCCTTAGCAGTTGACTGGGACTGTGCCTGGCTTGCACAGCAAGAGGAGTGTGAGAATGAATTCAGGTGAATGGCAACCGCAGGCTGGCGAGGCCCGGGAAGACCCGGCCTGCCGAGACTGAAGTTGCCGTGGGAGGGACATCAGCCACGTTCCCTCAGAGCGCACCTCTGGCGTCACTTCGAGTCAGCAGCGCTCTCCTGGGCACTGCGTGTGGTCAGACTGGCGTTACCGCGAGAGCGTGGGACAGCCCCACGGTGCCTGCGCGGCAGCAACCGTCGTGCTGGCGACGTTCGGGCAGCAGTATCGTGTAAATAAGCAGAGAGCCTAGGGATCCGTCCTTGGGGAGGGACAGTCGGCACTCTGGGGTGGTGAAATAGCAAGCCATAAACAAACAACCGTCAGGGACTGCAGCAGCTAAACATAGCCCCAGAGGCTTGACTCACTTGGCTTCGTCTGCCTGGCAGGTGACTGCTCTGGGCTCGCTGTAGAGTTGCAAAGGTGAAATTCTTTAATCTGCGTCATGCCAGAGCTCAGTCTAGATGTGCTTGAAGGTCTCCTCTGGACTCAAAATCAGCATGTTCCCAGGGGTGCACGGGACTGAGCATCCAGGTCATTCTAGCCTGGCTGCTTGCCCTTTCCGACACCGTCCGAAGAGGCTCCTGCTTGTCAGCCTCTCCTCCTCCATGCCGGCAGCAGCGAGCCTCAGCGGGGAAAATTATGCTCCTGGTATTTCTCCCTGAAGCCTGTGGCGTGTGGGAGGAGGTGCGCAGCAAAGCGGAGATGATGACCCTTCTGCACCCTGTAATGGTAAAAGGAAATAGCAGAGTACAGCTTGCTTCAGTCAGGATGATTCCTGAACACATGGTATTAAGGTCGCTTCTGTTTCTCAAACAGGGAGAAGCTTCAGAAACCTAACATAAGAAATGGTTTGCTTAGTCATGCTGCTTAGAGGTTAAAGTTGCATTATTGTGACAGTCTTGTCTTTTGATGGCTGTACCATGAGTAATATGTTCGATAGGTTTTATGAACATCAACTCTCTGAGGTGTCTTTAATGTTGCTTTTTGAATGAAACTGAGCCCAACGTCCTGATTGCTTATGGCTGCTTAATGATTCAGTTGCGTATTACGGGAAGAATACGCGATGTGCTGGGTTACAGTGTCATCAGGAAATTACTCATATAGAGTCTTGCTCCAGAGTGCTGGTCTAGATGAGTGTAACAATTGGCAGAAGTGTAATGGACGTTTGTGTTCACTCTTTCTCCTGTCGAGGCTATCAAACATGTCTGGAACAGGCTGCATTTCTGCATGTTTTTCTTTTTTAATATTGGCAGAAACATGATGTAATCGCTTCTAAATCTCTCTTAAAAGCAATTTAATCACGAGTGGAAGCAGCAGATTTTGCTTTGCAGTTGCAAGACTGTTAAATGTCTTAGGGTGAATAGCTGATGCCTAACTGGAAAGCAGCAAGTCATTCTGCTGCTGAGCTAAACTCATGTCACTTAAAAGAAATCACTTAAACTTGGTGTCTGCCCTTACGATAGGGTTAAAAATAAACTCACTGCTTGACCACATATTTTGAGGCCTGTTTCTCACGCTTAACGTAGGGCCCTCTGGAGAGCAGTCTGAAATGGGAATTATATGGTCATGGATGAAACAGACAAAAGCAAACCAGTTCTTCTGTTTGTTTTCCTTCTTCTGCAGGACAGATTCTGCATCCCACATGAACTACGAAAATCCTCCGCCTTACCCTGGCCCAGGCCCAACTGCCCCTTACCCACCCTATGCACAGCAACCGGGTGGTCCTCCTGGCCCATACCCAGGTTATCCTCCTGGACCTACTGGGCCGTACCAGCCAGGCCAGCCAGGTTATCAAGGTTATCCCCAATATGGATGGCAAAATGCACCTCCGCCTCCAGGACCAGTGTATGCAGATGGGCCTAAAAACACAGGTATGCCTAGCAGCTGTGGTGCGATGTGATCGTGACCCTTTGTGGCTTACAAATGTGTGAGTACATGTTGACCTTGAAGTACCAGTGTCTGGCCCTAACAGGCCTGGCGGAGGTGGAGACTTGTTTGAAGTAGTGATTGTGTTTATAGCCTGTTTTCCTGCTTTATTTTGCTGTTGTGTCTCTGTTACAGTTCTCTGCCTGTTCGAAGATACTGCTGAACATCCTTAATGCTGATCCCTCAAGGGAATCCTTATGCTGAGGTTGTTATATGTGCTTTTTACTGGCTTGAGGTTTGCCACCACTCTCGTTTTGCCTGTCTTTTGTTTGATAAGTTTCAACCAAAAGCTGCATAGTTAAAGCTCGTAATATTAAAATGTACAATTACAGTTCCTACCAAATTAATGTGCATCAGTTTTCTTGAGCCCATCAGTATCTGTCCAAGGGATCTAATAGTGCCATTGGAGTAATTTCTGGGCTTTTGTTTTTTTCTGAAGCTCTTATGGCTCTGTGGAAAAACCCAGATTTCTGGGGAAGGGAAGGAGGATGGTGTAACTTACCTTGGCAGCTAGCTGGTCCATCTGTGTGCCGTGTCACCTCAATATGGCACGCTGGTTTACTCTGGCACCCATAGCTCTCATGGGGCTTGCTGCAGTGCCCGCTGCAGGCTCGAACTGTCAGCCGAGGGCTGAGAAGATGATTAAGGGACCAGAACAGCTTTACAGGAGGAGAAGCTGAGAGAGGTGGTACTGTTCAGCCTGGAGAAGAGAAGGATCAGGAGGGCCTATTATGTGTATAAATACCTGATGGCAGGGAATGAAGAAGAGGCAGCTGGACTCTTCTCAGTAGTGTCCAGTGTCAGGACCGGAGGCAACGAGCACAAACTGAAGCATAGTAGGTTCCTTCTGAACACAAGACGACACTTTTCTGCTGTGAGGGTGATCAAACACCGGCACAGGTTGCCCAGAGAGGTTGCGGAGTCTCCATCTGTGGAGATACTCAAAACCTGACTGGACAATGGTCCTGGGCAGCCTGCTCTAGCTGACCCCGCTTGAGCTGGTGGTCAGACCAGATGATCTCCAGAGGTCCCTTACAACCTCAACAACTGTGGGATTCTGGCAAGGTTGGGTGTGGTCCCTGCCTTTTCCCCGTTGGAAAGAGGAGGATTTAGCTTGGGGGTTTTTTGGTAGCTCTCTGTCTTGCTGGTGTCGTGGTTTAGCCCCAGCCAGCAACTAAGCACCATGCAGCCGCTTACTCACTCCCCCTCCCGCAGTGGGACGGGGGAGAGAATTAGGAAAAAAAACCTCGTGGGTTGAGATAAACACGGTTTAATAGGACAGAAAGAGAGGAGGAAACAACAATAATAATACCAACAAAGGAATGTACAAGAACAAGTGATGCCCAATACAGCGATTGCTCACCACCCAGTGATCGACAGCCTGGGTCGTCGAGTCCCTGAGCAGCAATTTCCACTCCCCGGCCAACTCCAGTTTATGTACTGGGCATGACGTCGTATGGTAGGGAATATCTCTTTGGCCAGCCTGGGTCAGCTGTCCTGGCTGTGTCCCCTCCCAGCTCCCCGTGCACCCCCAGCCTCCTTGCTAGCAGGCCAGCACAAGAAACTGGACTGTCCTTGACTGCTCAGCAACAACCCAAAACACCAGTACATTATGAACAGTTTCTCATCCCAAATCCAAAACACAGTCTCACACCAGCTTCTGTGAAGAAAACCAGCTCTATCCTGGCTGAAACCAGGACAGCTGGTAAGGACACTTGCCTAGAATCCAAGTTTATTCTTGTCAGTGTTTCACAGGCTTTGGTTGTAAAATCTCTGCTCATACATCATGGAGGTGTACTCAGCCATCAGCACGGGGACTCACACTGTCATGCCAACTCCAGTGCCCTCTTTCAGGTTTCTTCAGTGATAAAGATACTCATCCAGGCTGGGAAGCCAGAAGCCATCGTTGCCGCTTCCTCTGTTGCAGTGAATATCATAAACAGACCTGAGCTGTTGAGAAGAGTCTTAAGTACCTATAGCTCTTCTGGCTGCTTTAGCTTGGCAGAGGACGTGGCCAGAGCTACCAAAGGGGCTGTTCCGCAGGAGGGAGTGTGGGGAGCATTTCTGTGGAGGTGCTGTCCAGGCACTATATTTTAGGTGGCAGCTGCTTTCAGGAAGGAAAGGAGACTCAGGGTTTGTATGTGCTGGGTGGGTCTAGCATGGTCACAGACGGACTAACCTGGGGCGGAAAGAAATGAGACTAACATGTATCTCAAATCAAAACCTAAGTCAGTGCTTTACAGCTATGCAAGGCACTAGCACTTTGGGCAGTACTGCTGTAAAGGCCAGCTGATAAAGTGGGTATCAAAGCTGACATCACTTGGAAGATTGTCAGGACTCAGACAATTCCCCCGAGACCTTTGCCGCTATGCGAAGCTGTCTTTAGCCATTGCACGTTAAGGTCATTCTCCACATACTGTTGTTGCCACGGCTTGGGACAATGTGTGCTTGCACTTGGGGCCTGCCCAGGACTGAGGTCTATATGCATTTGCTGTGTTTTGAGCCTGCTGTGTCCCTCTACCACTTCATGTTGTTTGGACTAAGCAGTGCACTGTGACAAAAGGTCTTTTCAAAGCCCGCATTTTTGCGGAAGATGGAACTTGAGAAGTTTCCAGCAAGAGTTTTTCACGGCAGTGAATCCAAAGGAGACTTGACATAGATAGGTGGAGAGGCTGAACTGTAGAGAGGACATTTTCAAGATTCCTCCCCCCCCCCAGTATTCTTGGCTAAAATGGTGGACTACTGGACCAGTGTATATAAAAGCAGCCCTGGATTTATAGCTGATGTAAGATGTCAGGAATATTCTGGTGTGGGTATGGCCAGAGGACCTAAATATAAGCAGCAAACAATTGGTGTGAGTGAATAGGAGTGTGAACGAGTGCAAGTCATGAGTTCAGCTTCCTCTCTAAAAACGAGTGAAAACCTCAAGGGTCTGCCTTTGAGAAGGAGGAGGCAGCAGCATGGTGATGCTTCCCACCACTACCACCACATGGACTCGACGTGTAATCAGGGTTTTCCCTGGGAAACATGCATAGTTTTGGGGTGGCTAACAGGCATTTCTCAGTACTGAGGGGGAAGAAAATTCCTCGTCTCCCATGTGGAACATCTTTGGTTAGTGCAAGTGTCACTTTGCAGCGATAGCCACAAAAATGGATATGCTAGCAGAAGCTGAAGGGAGAGTGGGTCTGCTCAGATCAGGTCTCTGCTCTGCTTTCACACGTGTGGACAAGCACAAAGGAGTAGGCTGGGAAATTGGAGAGGACAAATAGCTAAATGTTTGAGTGTGTCTTTCACTGAGAGCCCAGGCTTGTGCTGCAGGAGGCATGGTTTTGTTGTTAAACCTAAGCTTAACACAACTGCAGTTCTGCAGAAGCAGCACCCTAACCCACAAACCAAAGATCTTCTGGTCAGTCCTGTCTTTGAGCTGCTCTGCTGTAGCCATGTGTGGTCTCTGAAGCCACCCTGGGAGCCTCCAGTTTGCATTGCTTTTGCTGAAGTGGATGTAACGTACAAAAACATTTATTAATGTCTGTAAAGTGAAGTCAGGGCTATAACTTTGTGTTTGTCTGCAAAAGCTTTTCCTTGTTCTTGATTCTGGTTCTGTTGAACACCTTTTTCCTTTTTGGCCCGCTGCTCAAACTGGAACATGACCTTTGGTGACACTTTAGCAGAAGATCGCCTCCAGGAGTGTCTAATATAGAATGGATGTCCCTAAAAAAGCTATTTTAAAAAAAAATCTGTTATACTAATGCCATGTATCTGTTGGTGTGGCTGAACCTCTAATATAAAAAATTGATGTCTAAATTTAATCAAGTCATCACAGTCTGCCTAGCTGGTCTGGCATGATTTAATGTGGCTTGTCAGTTCTTGTGGTGTTTCCAAGCAGTTATCTGGGAAGAGCTACTGTGTGGATGCTTTCCTTTCAGAGCGGTTGTTTTGCTCTCCTAGATGACTTTGCTTAATCTAATGAACTAAGCTACTCCAAGTAATGCATTAGTATTTCTGAACAAATGTGTGTGCACATTGAAAACTAGGAAATTTGCTATACTTTTAAATTTTGTGCTTTAAGTTATTTTACTGTGTAGGCAAACTGCAAAGTGAGCTCTTATGTTGTGGATTGTAGCCAGTGTGCTAATGTGTGAAAGTAATTATGCATTGTATTTTGGTCTTGAGTGGATCATGCAAATGGAAATAATCACCTTTGAGCTCTCAAAATCTGATGGTAAAGTAGCATTTCATGGTGATGGTGTTTTTTAAGCTAACAATTTGTGGCCTCTCAGAAGTAGCAATGGACATAGCCTGTCCAATTGGCCCCTGGAAAAGAAAAAAACCCTCATGGCTTGCTCTCTGTATTAAAAAGAAAGCTGCATCTGAGATGTAACAAGGGAAACAGCTTAAACTTAGTACTGTTTTTGTCACCCATGCTGCAGAAGAGCGGGTAAAGCACTGAGCCTTGTTTCAAAGGCTGCTGCTGAAGGGCTCTTCAGGCTGAGAAGCACTGGCGTGAGTGAGGCCGCCGGTGCGTGGCATGCGTGCTGCAGCCTTGCTTCTCCCCAGCCACAGCAGCCATTCCTCCGCATGCGCAGGGGGTGGGAGCTGTAAGCACAGACTGGAGAGTTTGGCCCCTCTTGCTGGGGTCATGCTTGGCGAGGGTAGGTAACATCAAGGCTGGAAGGAGAAAGTTATTACTGTTAAGCGAGCAATGACTGCTAGAAATAGGTGATGTTGTCGTCTGTTCAATATGACACTGAATAGCGGGACATACATAAAGGCTTGTCAGAGGAAGATGCAGTCCAGAACAGCGCTGAACAAGGAGGACAAGTATATTCCACTCTAGACTGTGTAGGATTAGTTAGCCACGACGACTGTCTCAGTTGCAGAAATCAGCTTGCAGTTTACACATTAAGACTTAGTGGTGTTGGCCATATGACTCTCACGTATTACA